TAATAACCCAGTGATCATCAGTAAGTGCTTGTTGCTGGTACCTATGAGCTGCCTCTTGAGATTGACGTAGCTGCCTATCCTTCTCCTGTAGCTCCCTATCCTTCTGTCGCAGTGCCTCCTGATTCTCCTGCAGTATCACCTGATGCTCCCTATCCTTCTCCTGTATTATTTTCTGATGCTCTTCATCCTTCTGTAGTATTAATAGATTCTTCTCTTGTAGCACTACCTGATGTTCTATATCCTTCTCCTGCAGTACTACCTGATGCTCCCTATCCTTCTCCTGTAGCTGATGACGATATCTTCTTATTTCTTGCTCTTTCTCTGCTTCTTCTCTTTCCTTCTGCTTGAATTGTTGATGATAAACTTGTGCTTCTCTCTCCTTCTCTTCAAGACTCTGAATAAGAGCTTGTACGGTTTGCTCAATATCGGCTGTATCTCCTTTTCTTGGTTTCTGGTACTCCTCCAACCATATTCTTCTTACTGTCTGTAGTTGCTGCTGATACTTCTTCTTGTATTCTTCATTATTCATACCACTGGTATCTAATGTATCACCTACTGTCCACTCTCCTTTACTGTTAGTAACTAAAATACAATATTAATAATAATTTTAATTAGAGGGTGTGGATCCAATGCAACATTAAGTACATCAAAGGAAATAATTATAATTAGATAATTAATTGGGGCGAGCCTGAGTTCGCCCCACTCTAGCGCTATAGCAGTACTCTCAGTCACACCCCTTCTGTCTGTCTGTCCTCGTACGTCACCCCTATTTATTAGTGCATTCAAAATAATGTGTACTTTAAAGAATAATTGCTTTTATTGTTTTTTTCCATCATATACGGTTTATTGTAACACGTGTTAGTAGTAAAAACTAAAAAGCGAGAATAGTCAGAATACTCTTAAGAAGGAAACCATTGTCTTATTCATAATTGTTGTTACTTCTTATCAGCTATGAGCAGCTTTCAAGGAAGTAGCAGTAGCAAACAAGAGAAGAGGCTTCTTCGCAATGAACGTGACAGAGAGCGAAGGAGGAACGAGACGCCTCAACAGAGAGAAGCTCGACTAGCTAAAAGGAGAGTCAAGGGTGGGGCTTGTCGAGAGACTTGTAAGGAAAGGGAGCAACAGCTACAGAGACAACAACGTCTAATTGTGGACAGGAGTAGGTCTCGATCAAGAAGGCAGCACGAGACAACTCCTGAGAAAGAACTACGCCAGTCAGGAGATAGAGCTAGGTATCAAATAAGAAGAGAGAGTGAGGTCACACCTGAAGAAGAGCAGCATGAAGGTGATAGGTGTGAAGCGGCCCCGTTTATAGTAGAACAGCAGATATCACCGTATGATGGGATGCTGAAATATCATGAGACCTTATCCTGTATCAAGTCTTTCAAGTGTAATGCTTGTTTTGAAAATTTCCCTACTCTTTCAGTATCTCGTCTGCCTAATGGAGTCAGTGAGTGCAGTAGGTAAGCACATACCCAAGCTGTACTCCAGTGGAAATAACATGGACCCATGAATTTTTCCAATTTTTGGTAAAATTTACTACAAAACCATTAATTTTTGCTCAGTACTAAAATTTAATGCGCAAAATGCAGCTCAGGCTCGCCCCTTAATGTTCTACATTAGTTCTAGTAGTATTCATTGGTGGGTGTGGCTAATACACTGACCTAGTTCAGTTAGCATAACAATGTTAGGATTAGTGACTAATGTCAATCTCTTATCAACAAATCCTCCAGCAGTTATTATCCAGACACAATGAGGACTCATAATGAACACTGAGAGAGAATGATTAGATCTCTTACTAACAGAGTGAGGTACACCTAACTTTTAATAGAAATAAATTAATAATTCACATGTATCTCACTGTATAGATCAATTATTAATAATATCCAACATACCTTTATCCAGGAATGTTGAGTGATGTTAAAGATCCAACAATCATCTAATATATCATCATTCTTATCCTCCCCACCACTTATCACTAGCATAGGACAGTCTGATCCAGTTATAATAATAGCACCTGCATGTAACCATCTAGCCACAGGCCATTGGTCTATAGCTTCAGGTTTCTTTATACACTGCCAGAACTAAAAATAAAATAACCACACCCATTAACAATGACACGTGTGTGTGTGTGTGCGTGCGTGTGCATAGATATAATACACGGAACAGGATTAGAAACAGGATCACGTGAGCGCATTATCCATTGAAACACTCCTAGTTATATTGGAGCCCCAGGCAGCTGCTCGACTATTGCCGAGGCCCCCGACTGTCCCTTTTCAAAAAGTTTGTGGGACTCTAGCAACTACAGGAGACGGCGAGACGCACTAGTATGAGCTTTTATGGCTATTCTCTGAGGATCTTTAGTGCATTAAGACATTTATTAGTGCTTACACAGAAGTTTTAGAAAGTTACGGCATGTCAAAACCAAAGGCCATATTTCAATGACGTCAGTACTCTAAAACTATTAAACGCAGTCCATAACAAACATCACAGTGCACTGTAAGAGGTTAAGAAGTAACCATAAAAGCAGATATTTAGTTACGAAACTATCAGATATCGTCTGGAGAGTCCCACAAAGTATCTCCATTCATCTCCATTACGGGACCAGTTCCCGGCAAAACTAGGAGTGTTTCAATGGATAATGCGCTCACGTGATCTTGTTTCTAATCCTGTTCCGTGTATTATATCTATGGCGCACGTGTGTGTGCGTACATTCAGTACACATAATTTAACATACCACAGTGTTGATTGATATCTCTAATATATAAATATTGTTAGTTCTAGTATCCTTAGCATCATCATCAGTCACTACTCCACCAAACAGAACAGCTCTAGTGTTGTTGATCTTTTCAATGACAAAGTGACTAGCAGGTGGTATACACTGACCAATGATTGAAGGATTACTCCATTTTCCTAAATTATTATTATTAACATAATTTCAAACAGTAATATAAACATAGGCGGCTGCAGGCCTAGGCATTGGGGGTCATTGCCTAGGTTAAAAATTAGACCGGAAGTAGAAACAATGCTATTTAGCCCTTTTACCACACCCCTTTAATTAGAAATGCCTAGGCTGAGTTGGACTTCTGCAGCCGCCAAAGAATATAAAATCTTACTTGATGATAGATTATACATTGAGTGCTCATTAGTACGCCATTTTCCATCAGATAACTTAATATATTTATAATGAGGTAGTTGTACAGCTGGTTTAGATCCATACCCTCCTATCATTAGTAAATGGTGTACTCCATCATGTTCAAATGATATCATTCCACCAGCAACTCTCCTCATAACTGGTCTAGTTGCATCAGTTGGTTCTAATTCTCTCCATTGAAGACTAACAGTATCCAGTTGTGTAATACTGTTGTGACGGCAGTCGTCATGGCCACAATAGCCCCCGAAATAATACAATTGATCATTTATTGCAGTACAGGAGTATGCTCTCACTCCTAATGGAGGAATACCAGTAGTACCTCTAGTGATCCATTGACCAGTTGAAGGAGTAAAGTGCTGTATATTACTAGTGATCCTTCTCTTCTCTTCACTATCATGTACTTCAGGTAAACCATCCTGATGACCAGCCCACACATACAATGAATCACCTACTGATACAGTGCGGTGATGGGATCTTCCCTTCAGTTGATCTATAATATCAATGATTGACAGTACATGATCACTGGAATAGTAACATTAGGACTTACTTGTAGTAGAGATGCTATCTTTATTTTTAGAACTAGCCATTGCAAGCAGCTCCTGGCTGCGCTGCTTGCTGGCCAGTGGCCACCTACTAGTGGTGGGCGATACTATTGAAATATTATCGATACAACGATACTGGGCCAGTATCGAGTAGTATCTAGTCTCGCCGCCCCAGACCCCCATGACTGTAGGCCGGCTGGGGAATGGTCTGGGCGGCGAGACTAAGTCTATAATATCTATGGTTGTATCCGTATCGAAAATTCAAGAGCAACACTAGTATCGATACTGAGGCCACACCTTAATTAATTGGTTAGTATCGTATCGAATTACTAGTATCGATACCAGAATGAAAATACTCAGTATCTTATCGAATCCAAAAAATACAGTATCGCCCACCACTACCACCTACCCCAAACTGGATCACGTGATATAAAAATTGGGTGGAGCTCAATTTTTGCAAAGCTTTAAGTGCAAAATGTGAATTACTTCAATCAGTAAACTTATTATTGTTTACAGTGTTTAGATATTAATACTTTAAGTACAGTAAAACAAGACAGCTATTTATGATTGTGTAAAGGAATCTCTCCCTGTCCTTCAATGACCTTCCCTTTCTCTCTCATCATTACAAAAATGAAGAGAGAGAACT